GGACCCCCAGAGGGGTCTGCCAGAGAGACTGCAACTGGCCGGCCAAGCGGCGTGAGTGTGGTGCGGTCTCGAAAGAAGGAGCGAGAAGCCCCCGAGTCAAGGGTGAAGGTGTGGGAGGCCGAAGCCGACGCAGTACTTGAGAGAGCAGACTCACCAGCACCTGAGTGAGCAGACGCACGAGCACCTAGAGCAGCAGCCTCACCAGTACCTAGAGCAGCAGTCTCAATGCCCGGGTCGGGCGGAAAACACCGGTAACAGTCACCCTCATCACTAATAGTCACAGCATACATGGCAGCAAGAATAGCATCAAAGTCAAGGTCAAAGACAGCTACACCCGCCCTAGACAGCTCGCCCCAGCGGGGGATCTCAGTGGCCTCAGGGAACTGGTGACACCAAGCGTCCGTCAGGCGGCCAAAGCAGCGCTGGGTGGAGTGCGCACCCCCGCACTGCTCACCCGCGCGGTCGCCGGTGCGTAGGACGTAGGTGCACGGACAAGTACCCCCACCCCGCTGGCGTGCAGCGTACCACTCACGGAGCTGCTGAGGGGGGGGGGATGTCACGAGTGCGCTGCTGCCGCTGCTGCTGCTGCCGCTGCTGCTGCTGCTGCTGGCGCTGACCACCACCGGAGCCGACCCTCTGCCCAGCGCCACCCCGACTAGCTCCACCTCCTCCGCCGCCGCCTCCTCCACCGCCGCCACCTCCGCCACCTCCGCTCCCACCGCCACCGCCGCCGCCGCCTCCGCCTCCACTGCCGCCACCGACACCTCCACCCCCGCCACCACTCCCACCATGACCCCCACCCCCTCCACTGCCGCCACCGCTACCTCCGCCACCCCCGCCAGCCCCTCCAGCACCCTTGCCCCCCTTGCCCTTGCCGGTGCGGCGTCTCCCGCTCGGGGCAGACGTAGCGCCGACCGACTCGAGACCAACGAGGTCGGCCGCAGCAGCAGAGGCAACAGAGGGCAAAAGAGGGGAGGGGGAACACCCCTCAAAGATGGGGGTGCGAGGGTCACCACGAGAGGCTCCTACAGCTACTATGCTCTTTTCTGCTGCTAGGAGGGCCTTCTCGAGGAGGTCAACGGTGAGAGTGGTGGGGCAAACTGAGAGGAAGTGGTCCCTGACTACACGAAGGGAGTCAGGGAGACGGGTGACTATGTAGTAGAGGGTGATGTACATGGGGGGGGGGTTCTTGAAGCAGAACTCAGCAGGAAGCGCAGCGCGGTAGCGAGTGTCACTAGTGCGGAGGTGCGTAATGAGGTCAGCGACTGTGGGAAAGGCAGCAAGGTCAGGGAAGAGGTACGGTAGCATGAGGCGGCTCAGTGCAGCAGTGGCAGGGGAGGAGTAGCGCGCAACTACAGCGTCGTACAAGGTGTGAGCACTCTTGTACTGGCTAAAGTGCGCACGCTCAGAGATAGGCAGGTGGCGACGCACAGCAAGACGTGCAGCAGCATCGCGCGTGGCCCACTGTGAGCGAACAGTGGCGTCAGCATCAGCAGCGGGGGCAGGAGAGGCACCAGAAGTGAGGTCAAAGAGGGAGAGGCCGTCTGCCCTATCGCACTGTAAGAAAAGCTGCAGGTCATCTATCCAGACGTCAAAGTCAATGGCCCGACCCTCAGCGTCAAAAGAGAGGACACTAGGGGTAGCCATGACAGCAGTAGACTAGCAGCGCAAACAGTAGGGTGAGGGCAGTGCTGTGAAAGAGGCGCTGCTCTTACCGGACAGGGCGGCTCGGGCGGCTCGGCTGCAGGGCGGCTCGGCGGCTCGGCTGCTTGGCGGCTCGGCGGTTCGGCTGCTGGGCGGCTCGGCGGCTCGGCTGCTGGGCGGCTCGGCGGCGCGGCTGCTGGGCGGCTCGGCTGCTGGGCGGCTCGGCTGCTGGGCGGCTCGGCTGCTGGGCGGCTCGGCGGGGCCGCTGAGAGGGCGGCGTCCGGGGCCGCTGGGAGGAGGCGGCGGGGCCGCTGAGAGGAGGCGGCGGGGCCGCAAAGGTAGGTGGCGGGGCCAGCAGGTAGGTGGCGGGGCCAGCAGGTAGGTGGCGGGGCCGCACAGGTAGGTGGCGGGGCCGCGGGTAGGTGGCGGGGCCGCTGGTAGGTGGCGGGGCCGCAGGTAGGTGGCGGGGCCGCACAGGTAGATGGCGGGGCCGCGGGTAGGTGGCGGGGCCGCTGGTAGGTGGCGGGGCCGCAGGTAGGTGGCGGGGCCGCACAGGGAGGCGTCGGGGCCGCAGGTAGGCGCCGGGGCCGGAAAGGGCGGCGTCAGGGCCGCAGGGCGGCGCGAGGGCCGCTGGGTAGGCGACGAGGCCGCAGGGCGGCGGATCGGGGCCGGGTAAGGGCGGCGCGATGGCCGCGGGGTAGGCGACGAGGCCGCCGGGCGGCGGGTCGGGTCATATAAATCTGACAATCCTTGCCGCTGTGTTTCTTGCCAGGCAACTTCGAAAAGTGCCCTTCAGGCGAAGTCCCCCAACGACTCAACCGCACTCCAAGAAGCGAAGAAATACCCGCAGCTTCATAATTTTTTGGTCGTTTCACCCCCCGACAATTCCGCTTCCCGCCGTTCACCCAGCGTCCGCATTTTTCGGATGAGATATAGTCGGTGTTGCCCGCACGAACCCAGCCACGGTGGAGAAGAAAAGTCTATCGGAGTCGGGGTAGCCTTAGTTAAAAGGAAATCATTCCCAACCGCTTTGCAGCCCACCGTGCCGTCGCGCCACTAAAACTCCACAGCTCCCGGTTCCAGCTCCGCCGCTGCGCCGTCACCTCGTGTAGACGCCCGGGTCAGGAGAGACCAGCGAACTGCACCATTGCTGTCATGCGGCGCCCCGATTTTTTCGCGTGCTGTTTCACCCAGTCCGCTTTTGTCGGAGTAGAATAGTGCCGCAACTCCACCTTTTTTTTGTTTTTTCTGTACAGCTGTTGAACGAGCACCAACCCAGGTGCCTTTAACCAGCGCAGGGTAGGCCCGTGTTCACCCTCGTTATTCGACCAAGCAAGTTGACTGCATGAGTCAGAACTAAAAACTTGGTGGGGATGGTGAGGTTCGGGCGACGGAAGGTCACAGATCGTTCACACCGGCTTTTAACCTGCCCTTCACGCCGTTCTTCAACCCCCGCTTAGCCGTCGGGTAGTTTCTTCTCGTGTGTCCCGGCGGCCTGTACCACTCTCCTCCGTAATTGTCGGCGTGGTACCATGAACACCGTTTAATCGTGGGCTGTTGAGGCTGTCCCCGAAAATGACTTCCTTACAGGGAATCCACTCTCGAAATGGCCGGCCAGCAGTCAACAGTACCAGGCACGCAGCGTCATCCGAGTGTTCTTCGGGGTGTATGGGCCCGAATTGCCCTCGCCGCCTGCGTCCCACTCCTCCTGAGTGCGATTTAGCCACTCCGTTTTCTGTTGCAACCCGTAAGTGTCGGCGGGTCTGAAGTTCCCGTCTGTCCACGTGCACTCCTACCGAAATCTTCGATGACGCGCCCGCCATGCAGCAAAAGCCGCTGCACTTCAGGTCGGGCGGGACGGCAGTTGACCCCGCAGAATTCGGGCAATTCGCGTGTCGTCTCTCCTCGTCCACCGATATTCTCGGACGCAAAACTCCATTTGCGCCTGGCGAGTTCCCAAGCCGACGTTTTCTCCACAGTTGCTCCGAAAATGTCGCCCACAGTGACGCACGTCCGTTGTCACCAGCTGCCGAAACACATTCCGCGAGTCATGCGCGCATGATGACGACGAGCCACCGTCGTCACTTGCCGCATGTGACGGACTCCGAAATTGTCGCGCAGCTGTTGACCCAGGTCCGACGGCGTCAACTGCCACACACGTTGACGACTCCGCGAATTTCGTGCAGGTGCCGACGCAGGTCCGCTGACGCCAGCTGCCACACAAAACTTCCGAAATCGTCGGTAAATCGCAGCGGAATAGTAACTCACGTTTAACGTCGCGACAGCTTCAGCTGTCCGTTGCCCGGGGGGAGGGAGGTCACGGTCGATCGCGACCGTTCGAGGCAAGGATCTGGCGGTGCCGAAGGAGTACGCGTAAAAACATAGCCGTGAGGAGCAACTAACTAGTTCTCCTGGCCGGCCTACGCAACTCCTGGATCCCAAGACATCCTTCCTCGTCCCCCCCCCGAGGGGTATTACACTTTAAAAAGCGGGGAAGGCTAGGAAAGTAGCTCTGATACCAGGTGTTATGAATGAACTTACAGAGTGCGCAGAATATCGAATAACGAGAATGATTGAGTACTGAATGACGATACAATGAGAATGCCGAGGCCTAAATAGGGGAAAAGCTAGCTAGGCGGGGAGGTTGGGCGAGGATGGCTCGGTGATGGTTGCGATTGGAGCGGAGGCCGAGTCGGGAGTGGTTCGGTGCGACGAAATAGGAAGGACAGGTTTGTCGCGTGACCCTCGGGATGGCCTCGCTAACGAGTGCCTCAGTAAGGATTTGTAAATCCTTGCAGTGGTTTAGCTGCGTTTGGTTACAACACGATCAAACATTTTGCTACTCGGATTTACCGAATCTTCGCGGCACTTCGAAGGCCTCCAAGGGCGTAGAAAGTTCTCTAGATCGATCGATCCTGTGTTTAAATTGACCCATTCCCGCAGCGACTCGACTCTTTTTTTCCACGATTCGATGCAACCCGAGGCGACTTCTCTGTGGCGATGGACGAGCGCGCGCGCGATGGATGCGACGGCGATGTGACTCTCGATTAGACTGAGACTCGAAAGCAAACCCGAACAATCTCCGTTGCGGCGATGGACGAGCGCGCGCGGGATGGGTGCGACAGCGGAGGCGGGCGGGGAGTGGGCGCGGAACGAGTAACGGGTAGAGGGCGGAGGGCGAGGGGGAGGGGGGGAGGGCGGGGCGCTGGGCGGCGAGGGGCGGAGAGGGAGCTGGACGACGCGAGGTGAGCGCTGGGGCTACGGGGTGAGCGTGACGGCGTGACGTTGTGCGCGTGACGCGTGACGTCGTGAGCATGACGGCGCGATGGGTTCTTTGGTTGGTGGTGGTGGTGTAGATGATCAAATGCTGTGCGGGTGCCGTGGATGATTGTCTTCTGTCTCGCCATTTCCGCCCTTCCCTTCGCCCCCTGCGCCCGTTGCGCCCATTGCGCCCCCTGCGCCCGTTGCGCCCATTGCGCCCCCTTCGCCCGTTGCGCCCATTGCGCCTTCGCCCGCCTCGCCCCCTGCGTTCCCTTCGACCCCTGCTTTCCTTTCATGTGCCGTCACCCACAAAATAACGCCCAATCCTCCAGAACCTAACCGCGAATCCGCAGCCTCCTCCTCGTGCCTATCTCTTCCTTCCCCCTCCACTCCCGCTTCGCCCTGCGCGCCCTCTTCCTCTCTCCATTCCCGCGCAATTCTCCCTCCTACTTCGTCTTCCTCCTCCCCCGCCCGCCTCCCATTCCCCCCCCCCCATCTCCCCACTCCCCCCTCGTGGCAGTGTGGCGGCGTGGGTGTGTGCGCGCCTGGGCGAGCCAAAGAGGGCGCTGATGAGAAGAGGCGAGCCGTGTTGGCAGTGCTACGCCTCCTCATCTGCATTTTCCCCCCCGTTCCCCCCCGTTCCCCCACCCTTTCCTTGTCTCAGCGTGGCGGCGTGGGCGTGTGCGCGGCTGGGCGAGCCCAAGAGGGGGCTGATGCGGCGAGCCGTGCATGCACTGGGAGGGGACGCCGTCAGGGGGATGGTGGCGGAGGTGAGGGGCATGGGGGGGAGGTGAGGGCGTGAGGGTGGGGAATAGGGTTGGGAAATGGTGAATGGGAATCTGGGGATGGGGGCAGGGTATGGGTTTGGGGATGGTGTTGTGAGGCAAGGGGGATGTGCAGGGAGGTGCAGATGGGCGCAAGGGGGTTGGGGGAAGGGGAGTGCGTTACGTGATAAGGTGTGAAAGGAGAGGCATCTTGCAGGAGGGTTTAACGTAGGAGGGAGGGGGTTTAAGATTTGAAGGATGGTGGATGGGGAATTGGGATAAACGTATGAGGGAGTAGTGATAGGTGATGGGGGAGAAGGGCTAAGGTCCAGGGTGTAGGGTCTATGGTTTAAGGTCCAAGAGGAATCCCTCTCTGGCACTTTGGTTCCCTGCCTCCTTGTCTCTCATCTCATCCCCCTTATTCCCCCTTCGCCTTGTCCCCTCGAATCTCTCGTCTCCAGTTCCCCTCTCTGCTCTCTTATGTGGTTCCTCATGGTCCCGTTCCTCATGGTCCCGTTCCTCATGGTCCCGTTCCTCATGGTCCCGTTCCTCATGGTCCCGTTCCTGCTTTTGTTCGCCCAACCCCTCCCCAACTCCCTTTCCCTACACTAGGTACAACCGGTGCGTTTTTTGTCGACTTATAAGTCTGCCTCCCTTGTCCCAGCGTCTTTCCCCTCATCCCCTCCCCAACCCCCTTCAAGGTGGGTGGCCACGTGATATGAGACGAGTATGGAGGCGCCTGAACAATCACCATAGCTCTTGCTGCCCCCATTTCCCCCCTCCCCCTCCTCCTCCCCTTCCCCCTCCCACTCTCTCTCTCCCTTCCCGACACTCCCCGCCCCCTTTTTGCCAGGCGGACGCGGCGCAGCGCTGTGGAGGGCAGGGCATGTGGACGCGGTAACCATGGGCGCTTTATTACCCGTATGGTCGGCTAACCATTGGTCTCTTCCCGCTCCACTTTCTCCCACCGCCTCCTTTTCCCCTGACGCCTGATTGACATGGTTCATGCTTGAGTTGACTCACTACTGGCCGCCCGCACCCCCTACCTTCCCCCTCTCCCCCGTTCCGTCCTCTCCCCCCCCCTTCCCCATTCCGTCCTCTCCCCCCCTTTCCCCCATTCCGCCCCTTTGTGCCAGGTGGACGCGGTGCAGCGCTGTGGAGGCCAGCTCACGGCAGATGAGATGAGACGAGTATTGAGGCCTCCCCCTTCCTCCCTCCTCCTCCCCTTTCCTCCTCCTCATACCTCCTCCTCCTTTTTCTTCCTCCTCACTGCCCTTCCTCCCCTTCCCCCCCCCCCCCCCCCTCGTGCCAGGTGGATGCGGTGCAGCGCTGTGGAGGGCAGCTCACATGAAAAGAGACGAGTATTGAGGCCTTCCCTTTTTCCCCGCTTCCCCCCTCCCCCGCCTCCGCCCCCCTCCCCTTTCCCCCCCCCCCCCCCCCCGTGCCAGGTGGACGCGGTGCAGCGCTGTGGAGGCCAGCTCACGGCGGACGGCAAGAGGTGCCGCACTCCGGGCGGCGTGTTCTGGAACATTCTGAGGGCGCGGGTCAGCGCTGACGTGTACAGCGAAATCATGGCGGAGGAGAGAGACTTGCAGGTAGGCGGAGCAGAGTAGTGGGAGGGACATGTTGGTAAGTGGGGTGGGGCAGGGTAGAGACATGGATGTATGCATGTCATAAAGAATCTCGCATGACACGGAGGAGACAACATAATGGAGTTGCTCGCATGGAGAACACATACGGTCCTTATTTCTGTCGATTTTGCCCCTTCCATCCTCCTCTGTGCTCGTCCCACAGCTCCTCATCTTTGCAGTGCTGCGCCATCCCATTCCCTGTGCCTGTGTGTGTGCAGAAGCGAAGAGAGAGAGGGCAGGCGAGCAAGAAGCGGAGGAGGCAGCACAAGGGAGGAGAAGGCGGTGGTGGGTTGGAACTTGGGGCCAGCGGTGCTGACAGGGAGGGCAGAGCGTGTGTGGAGTCTTGTGCTGGCCGGCATGCCATCGAGCCCATGAGCCACTCACTGGAGGTCGGCAGTGATGGTGACGCGCAGCCGTGTGCTGCTGACGTGGCAGAGTGTCCTGAAGCCAGCTGGCGAGCAAGCAGCAGCGTGTGTGTCCAGGAGGGTGGCAGGCCGTGTTTGGGACATGGCGTGGGGGGAAGGTGCATGGCGGAAGATAGGGGTGTGGAAGGTAGGGGCATGGTGGAAGGCAGTGGAGTGGTGGCGGCAGAGCAGGTGGCTGACAGAGCAGGGGCCAGAAGAGGAGAGCAGGTGCAGTGCAGTGAGGGCAGTGCTGTAGGCCGCATGGGGGGAGGAGAGGGGGAAGGCGGAGAGGATGGGGGTGGGGAGAGGAGGGATGGAGGAGTAGGAGGGGACGGAGAAGAGGCCAGGGTACGAGTTGTGCGTGGAGGGGTACAAGGGGTGGCGAGGTTGAGCGAGTGGGCACGTGGTGGAGGGAGGCAGGCTGGTGGGGTAGGAGAGGGGAGCAGCAGGGCGAGTGGCAGTGGGGGGGACAAGGGGTTGGTTGAAGGGCCTTGGGAGGTGCATGAGAAGAAGAAAGTACGTGTGTGTGTGGAGCACCAGGGGGGGCGTGTGGGTGTGAATGGGGATGTGGAGGAGAAGGTTCGGCTGGATGAGGGAGAGGGGGGCGGCAGTGTGAGGCAGGTGCTGCATGCATGGCGGAGTGCTGTCATGGCTGGTAAGGGCGCTGGGGATGGGTGGGAGGAGGGCGAAGAGGGAGAATGGCGTGAAGGTGATTGTGCCACTGTTGGTCTGGGCGTGCCTGATGGAGACGCTGCGTTGAAGGTAGGTGACGTGGATAAAGTGGCTGCCAATGGTGTGGGTGACGTGGAAGCTAATGGTGTGGCTGACGTGGCAGCCAATGGTGTGGGCGACATCCACGAGAGGGAAGGGGAGGAGGATCCGATGGAGGTGGATGGTGAGTGCGAGGATGCGGTATGTGCAGGAGTGCAGCCTTGCATGGGGAAGCAGCGTGAGATTGATCAATGCAAGGTTGTTTTGCAAGGAGAAGGGGCTGATGCACATGTAGGTGTGAGCAGCAGTGTGGACGGTGGTGCCTCAGAGATTGCAGCGCTGTCGAGCAGGGGTGTGGAGAGAGGTGGCACATGTGGGGCGGCAGCACTGCCAGGCGTGCGCGAGGCACAGGGGGGAGAACAGCGAGTGTCTGTGAAGCAGCGGCTGCGCATGCCAGTCAAGTATGATGATGTGCCCGGCACAATAGGGGAAATTGTGCAAGGCTCTGCCGTGTGAATAATGATTGTCGTATTGAAGGCTTATGACTCCGATGTGAACGGTTTGTTTTCACTTTACACTGGTGAATGGGAAGCTTCTAACAACGCAAACAAGCATAGAGACGCGACACACGTCCGATTTGGAATACGACACAGTAACAACTCAGGGTCGTGTCTTGACGACACTTGCATCTATAAAAAAAAAATGCATTTTCCGTTACCGGTATGCCTACATTTTGAGGTTAGTCGTGGAAAAGAGGAATGAGTGTACACCACTGCCCTTCAACCTGTTTCCACTCGTGACTGCTTGCTGGCTACCATGCTTCATCTCGTATGGGAATGAGTACATTGCGACACGTATGGGAATGAGTACATTGCGACACGTTTATTGGTCAATCACCCCTCAACTTGTGACACACAAGTGACACGCAAGTGAGTCCAGGCCCGACAGCTCAATCAAGCAGTATGTCCGTTGTCCACAAGACACACTCGCACCAGTGGCCATGCCAGATGAGTGTTACCGTACATGTCGGCAACGGACCACATGACATGAGTGTTACATGTCGGCAACGGACCACATGACATGAGTGTTACATGTTGGCAACGGACCACATGACATGAGTGTTACATGTCGGCAACGGACCACATGAAGGCCTCCTGCTCGCGCGCATCTCGTTCTTCTGCTTGAACATCTCCCGCTCAAACCCTGGCAGTCCAGACACAAGGCCAGGGTGGTGGGAAGGGTTAGAGCAAAATCAAACATCCTCCACGCCAGTGCTGACAAGGTGATTTCTGAGTGGACTCGAGAATGGTGGAAGGCATGCAACAGAAGCATTGCAACACAGGCATGATTTAGATGACAACAAATCCCCCACACATGAAACACCGGGGAAAGGAGCAAACGAAACCAGGAACGCAAATGAACGGAAGGAAAGGATTGGGAAGAGGACGAATCCTTTCCCAATCCCAAGTGTTGGGAAGCAGAAGAACAGGGACGAGGGACGACGACTCACCATTGCTGCGATCAACACCGTCCCAGTGGCGGCCGGGGCGGATGCCGTAGCGGTTGTGCGGCGCCGACACGCGGCGCTTGAGCCAGCTATGGGGGGGGATGGCCTGTGGCACCGTGAAGCCCGACGCCTGCATGGCAGGGTCTCGACTGAGATCCTCCAGCAGGGCGTCTGCTGATATGTTGCTCTGCGTGTAAAGGATGGGAGAGGGGAAATGGAAGGGACAAAGGGTAAGGGGATGGCCTGCGGCACCGTGAAGCCCGACGCCTGCATGGCAGGGTCGCGACTGAGATCCTCCAGCAGGGCGTCTGCTGATATGTTGCTCTGCGTGGATCAGAGAGAACGGAGGGGATGGAGGGAAGAATGAGTAAGTGGAGCCCACAGGCTTCACAGCACCACAGGTTACTGAGGGAACCTGTGGTGCTGTGAAGCCTGTGGCCAGCATCAAGGCGGATGTGCGGCAATGCTCCAAGTTCCCAATCCAACAAAAGTAGAGACAGATGCACACAGGTGCTCCAAGTTCCCCCAACACAGCTGCAGGAAGATCCACCTGCCTTGGGCCCCAACCTCACCCCACCCCACCCCACCTCATCACCTCACCCCACCTCACCTTGACGAGATGTGCCATGGGGTCGCCAAAGCGCACGGCATTTTTGAGCATGCGATCGCGCTCCTCGTCGTTCCTGCAAGGATTCACAAGGACAAGCGGGCACAGGAACATGGGAACACGCGGGCAAGATGACACAGGGAACATGGAGTGGCAGGGTGGGAGGGAAGAGGGGATTAAATACGTGATACGCGGGTAAGATACGTGAAGCCCTTGGCGATGGCCTCAAGTAAAAAGTGCCTGAATTGCCCCCCATTCGCTTCAACACGCAGCCCTCGTTGCAACAGATCAGAAAGAGAGAAGACGGGAGGAGCAGCGAGGAGCAGGAAGGAGCAGGGAGGAGCAGGGAGGAGCAGGGAGGAGCAGGGAGGAGCAGAGAGGACAAACCAGAAAAGGAGGTTATTCTGCAAAGGGGAGCACAACACACGAGTTTGTGGGGACGTACGCGTAACTCAACTGGTAATGCTTGCAAGAGGGTATGAAGAGTCTAGGGAGTGTGTCCATGTGGTGACAATAACTCAGCCAGAGCATCCATGTGTGCCTGCCAGGTGCCTCTCCTGTCTCACCTGCTCACTAATGAGCACAATAATGAGTGTAGCGCGTACATTAACAAACGAGGATAGAGTGTACTCACTCATAGGCAGCGAACGGACGTGCTGCCACGGCATCCAGGTCAGCCTGCTGCCTCTCCGCCTGCCTCTTCTGCACCAGCCCCTTGCCCCACTCGGGTGGCGGCAGCACCTGCACGGGAAGCACAGGGGTGGGGAGAGCACAATGCACACACAAACACACACTAGGGCATGAGATGAGCATGATACAGAGGGCTCTGTACTGCCTGCTGCCTCTCCGCCTCCCTCCTCTGCACCAGGCCCTTGCACCACTCGGGTGGCGGAGGCACCTGGAAGAGCGAAGCACATCAAGAGGGAATAACAGGGCACGTTATGGATCCACATGGCCCCTGTACAGGCGCCGGTTTCAAGTTATAGATTGCATTGTCGAGCAACAACCAATTAGGCATTCAAGCCAGCTACCCACAGACCTACCAACCAGCCAACCAGCCAGCCAGCACCTGTGTGTCCCGGCATGGAACCATCAGCTTCATGTTCACCTACTGAGAGAAGAGCTGGGATGGATGAATGCGGCGCTTCACAGAAGTGACATAGGCAAAGTGTTAAGGGTGCCCAAGGGTGTAAGGGTGACATAGCTGTGTGTGCAAGGGTGTCTTGCTTCGCGTTTTGCACCAACAGCTTCCGTCCAAGTCTCCACCACAATGTCCCACGCTCTGATGCCTTACGCCTTTCCGGCTTCTCTGAAAGTTCGACCCGACGCCTTGCGCCCCTCCCTCCACCCCTCTTTCCCCCCCTCCCTCCCCTACCCCCCACCCCTCATTCCTCCCTCCCCCCTTCTTTCCCCAGCCCCTGACCCCACCCCTCTCCCCGCCCCTGGCCCCCCTTACCCTACCACTCCCCTGCACTCACGCGGCCCCCTTGGCCTTTCCTCTCCTCGTGTACTCGTGTGTCTTGCAGTGCAATTTCCCCCACTCTCCCCTTCCCCCCACTCTCCCCTTCCCCCCACTCTCCCCTTCCCCCCACTCTCCCCTTCCCCCCACTCTCCCCTTCCCCCCACTCTCCCCTTTTCCCCACTCTCCCCTCCCCCCCCACTCTCCTCTCCCCCTTCCCCCCCCCCCACTCTCTTCCCCCCCAACTCTTCCCCCTCCCCACGACTCTTCCCCCTCCCCCACTCTTCCCCCCACACACTCTCCCCTTCCCCCACTCTTTTCCCCCCACTCTCCCCTCCCCTCCACTCTCCCCTCCCCCCCATTCTCCCCTCCCCGTCACTCTTCCCTCCCCCACTCTCCCCTCCCCCCACTCTCCCCTCCCCTCCTCTCTCCTCTCCCCCCCCCACTCTCCCCCCCCCACTCTTCCCCCTCCCCCCACTCTCCCCCCCCACTCTCCCCCCCCACACTCTCCCCCCCCACACACTCTCCCCTCCCCGACGTCCTTGAGGACACGCAGGAGGACTTTGAGTGAGACCCGGATGCACCAGACATCCCGACCCCGCGCTCTTACGCAGAGGCGATTGAGCGTCCCTACTCCTCTCAGTGGCAGACAGCCATGGACACAGAGATGGCTTCCTGGAAGTCCACATGCACCTAAGTCGACGAGGTTCCCCCACCTGGGGCGAACATCGTCAGTGGCATGTGGATTTTCAGGGTGAAGCGGCCGCCGGGTTCTCTGCCTGTCTTCAAGGCGCGTTACGTTGCACGAGGCTTCAGTCAGCGACAGGGAGTTGACTTCTTCCAGACCTTCTCCCCTACCCCGAAGATGACTACTCTTCGGGTGCTGCTGCACGTCGCTGCTCAGCGTGACTACGAGCTTCACTCTCTTGACTTCAGCACAGCCTTCCTACAGGGCAGCCTGCACGAGGAGATCTGGCTGCGCTGCCCACCTGGCTTCACTGGGTCGTTTCCTGCAGGTACCCAGTGGAGCCTCCGGCGCCCAGTCTACGGTCTCCGCCAGGCGCCTCGCGAGTGGCACGACACACTGAGGACGACGCTTGCGGCTCTTGGGTTTGCTCCTTCGACTGCTGACCCGTCGTTGTTTCTACGCACCGACACTTCTCTGCCGCCGTTCTACATCCTCGTGTACGACGACGACTTGGTCTTTGCCACTGCCGACACTGAGGGACTCGCCCACGTGAAGTCGGAGCTGCAGAAGAGACACACGTGCACAAACCTGGGTGAGCTGCGCAGCTATCTTGGCTTGCAGATCACCCGGGACAGAGCACAGCGCACCATTACCTTGACTCAGTCACACATGGTGCAGCAGGTCCTTCAGCGCTTCCGCTTCACGTACTCCTCGCCACAGTCCACTCCTCTGCCTACCGGTCACTCGCTCTCAGCTCTGCCTTCGGATGAGTCCGTAGAGCCGAGTGGCCCGTATCCAGAGCTTGTGGGCTGCCTCATGTACCTGATGACCTGCACTCGACCTGACCTTGCTTACCCTCTTAGCATCCTGGCACGCTACGTTGCGCCCGGGAGACACCGACCAGAGCACTGGGAGGCCGCTAAGAGGGTGATGCGCTACTTGTGCAGTACGTCGGGCATGGGGCTCGTGCTTGGAGGACGGGCTCGAGTTGTCCTCACTGGTCACACAGACGCTTCTTGGGTTGACGACTTGGCTACGCAACGGTCGTCACAGGGTTACACTTTCAGCCTTGGCTCCGGCTCTGTTTCGTGGCGGTCTACCCGCTCGTCTTCTGTTCTCAGTTCCAGTTGTGAGGCTGAGATCTTCGCAGGGGCCATGGCTGCACAGGAGTTATGCTGGCTCACCTACCTACTGACCGACTTGGGAGAGCCGCCTCGTTGTCCTCCAGTTCTGTACGTCGACAACAAGGCCATGATTGCCTTGTGTCAGGAGCACAGACTGGAGCACAGAACGAAGCACATCGCTCTGCGCTACTTCCTTGCTCGAGAGTTGCAGCAACGTGGTCAGCTTCGTCTTGTTTACGTGGTCTCTCGGGCCAACACTGCTGATATCTTCACCAAGGCACTTCAGCCTTGTGATCATCAGCGTTTCTGTACTGTTCTAGGCCTTGTGCCTACTTGGCCTCACTTGCTCACTTCTTGACTTTGCTTGTACTGTGATCTATATAGTTATACATGCATGCTTACTCTTGCTAGGTTGTGATCACTGTACTGCTTGTTCTCTTTTATATAACTCTGCATGTGAACTGGCCTTGTGGCCATTTGCTTGTGCTCAGAATGCGTGGTGACTTCGTGATCCACCCTGAGTTTGCTTTTCTTTTCTTGACCGGTCTTGTTACCTCTTTTTCTCCCCCACTTTGCCTATGGGGGTGTGTCAAACTGATATGCTACTTATTGTGTAGGCTATAGTGGGGTAGCCCATATGGGGTACAAACCAATTAGGGTTTCCTACTTGTACCCATCTTGCTGCTAGTTCATTCATTCCTGCTCGTTATTTTCTGACAGTTCGACAGCCTTGGGCAGGAGCCACAAGGGCAGAGTGTGTGATAAAGGAAGAGACGAGAGCAGTAGGGGACGAGATGGTAGTATGGCTGCAGTTAGGCAGGGGTGCGACTAGTGGAGGCGGGGGTAGTAATGATTAATCAAGCGAGAGAGGTGCGTGATGCCATCACAGATGTACGGGAGCTCGCTTAAAAAAAAACGCTGAGAGAAGGATTGGCTGCATACCTCTTCAATCGCCTCGATCCTATGCGATCCCCAATACATTCTATTTACCTTTAATCTCCTTGATCCAACTTAATCGGGCGGGTCGGTCTATAACGATCCATTTCTATTGATCGGGGTTGGCCGCCCCGTTTTTAGCGAACCTGGTCCAGCAACTTCTTCGTATGTAATGTGATCATATCCGAGCCACGGGCGCATCCTTTGCTATTGGGTATTTGGTAAGGGTTGTTCAAAGCTCTAATGAGGAGCTGATATTAGCTGGAGATGGAATTATATTGGAGTGGTGGCAGAATGTTTGGTGTCAATGCTTTATGATGTTGTTGATGGCGATGAAGGTTGATGGCATGACAAAAGGAGTACTGATGGTATATCGTGTGATGGCATTATGCCTATAGCATGGCGACATGATAACGTACGGGTAATGTAGCATGATAAATAACATTGATTTGTGAAAAAACCGTTAAACCTATCGTGACAACATTTATAGTTCGTCATAACATGCCTAGTCTATTATTATGGTACTGATCACATTTAATGATTTTTCGTTTCGAATCTCCTTCATACCCTCACCTTTATCAACCCCCCCGTATCATTGGTTCCTCTCTCCAACCCCCCCTTCCCAACCTTTCACCCCTTCCCTTATCCAACCGTTTCCCCCCATGTTTCAGTGAAAAAACTTCTAGCTCTAGACGGAAGCTACCCTAAATTCACAAATCCTACTCCTTGCTACAAATGGTTCTTTGTGATGAATACGATTGAATATATTTTGCCACCTTCTCAGGTTCCTATCCTAGTCTATCGAGAGTGTGGTACATTAGTGTGCGCGAGTCTGGTCCGTGGTGCGGGTTAAATTTCAGGACCATTTGCGGAAGTGGGCCAGGCCTCGGACCAAGGGGACCAGCCCACTGGAAAATCACTCTGATCAATCACAAGACCCATGGTGGCAAGAGTATTAACAAATACCAAAAGAGCAGTGTACGCTTTCACGGTACATGTGACTTTTTGCGCCACCCGTCACCCCCAATCTGAATGGTGAGAACCCAAGATTCTCGAAACTGGTTATCTAAAATGACAACGCTCGTCTGCCTTTACCCCCTGTCCATGCTCCACAGTAGACTAGGCTGGCTCGAGCTTGGTCCTCAAAGCACCATAGTCCAACGATTATATTTGGTGGTCCGCGAGCTGGTCCGCTCCTGTGTTAGAAGTCTATTTTTATATAACTGCATGTAAACTAGTTAGTGTAGTATCATGTTAGGTTTCCTTCTGTTGGTGGTTTACCCCCCTTGCAACCTTCCCTTCTACAACTTGTACTTGTTTTCATTATTGAAACCCCCTTCCTTCTCTCACTTTTCTTACGCTTCTCTCTCTCTCCTAGGTTCCTAAGTTACTATCTTAACATGGTATTAAGAGCATGGTGTCAAACATTGTATATGTTTGTGTTCTGTAGGCTATAGTGGGTTTAGCCTTAGGGGGTACAGTTTCTATGTTTTCCTACTTGTACTCCCAATCTTGTTAGTTCAAACACTTCTCTCATTCTGACATGGTATTACGAGCCTAGGTTAGGAACCTAGGACCGAACGTTCCTAAGGGCCCACCGTTCCGCTAGTAGCGCCCTCGTGCGCCCTCTCTTACTCGCGCCCTCGTGCGCCTCGTTCCTAGTGCGCCCTCGCGCGCCCCGTTTGACGTGCGCGTAGCCCGCTAGCCGCCCGCGCGCGCCCTGTTTTTCGCGCGCGTCGCCCGCTAGTCGCCCGCGCGCGGCCCTTTTCTCGAGCGCGCGACCCCCTAGCCGCCCACGCGGTCGACGCCGCCCACGCGTAGCCCGCCCTGGCCTCGCGCGGCCCCTAGCGCAGCCCTCGTGCTGCCCGTCGACCGGAGTGCGCCGCCGCCTCGCCCTCGTAGGCCGCCGCCCGTCAGTAGGCCGCCGCCCACGCGCAGACTGCCGCCCATACGTAGGCCGCCGCCCGCACGTAGGCCGCCGCCTCGAACCGCGCGCCGGCCCACTCTCTCTGCCCGAGCCGCGCCGCGCCGTCCTGCTCGAGCCGCGCCGTCCTGCCCGAGTCGCGCCGCCCTGACCGAGCCGCGCTGCCCTCCTGTGCACCACCTGCAGCAACTGCTGCTCCTGCTACTGCTACTGCTACTCCTGCTACTGCTACTACTGTTCCTACTGCTGCTACTGCCACTATGGCCAGTCCTACCGTTCTCACTTTTGACGCTGAGGGCCGTCCGATCAAGTTTGACGTTTGGCTCGATGACCTGCACCTGTTCCTCCAGATCACTGCCAAGGATGATGTTTCCCTGTTTGACCACACGTCCGGCATAGCCCCCGCACCTGCTGCTACTGCTGACAGTACCGCTCGCTCCCAGTGGCAGACCCGTGACGCTCCCGCTCGCCTAGCCGTTCGCACTCACCTCCGTACTAGTGATCTCCGCTACCGTGCCGCGCTTCCTCCTGATTTCCTCGCCAAGAACCCTCCCCCGATGTACCTCACACTCTACCACCTAGTCACTCGCCTCCCTGACTCTCTTCGTGCTGTCAGAGACCACTTTCTCGCCCTCTCTCCCACTGACCTCACTATCGACCTGCTCGAGAAGGAGCTCCTTGCAGCTGAGACTAGCATTGTAGCTGTAGGTGCCTCTCGTGGCGACCCTCGCACTCCCTTCTTTGAGGGATGTTCCCCCTCCCCCCTTCTCCCCTCCATTGCATCTGCTGCTGCTGTCGACTACCTCGGTGCTGAGGAGGTCGGGGCTGCGTCTGCTCCTAGTTGGAGGCGCAAGGGCGGCAAGGGCAAGGGGGGCAAGGGTGGCGGAGGTGGAGGCGGGGACGGCGGTAGTGGAGGGGGTGGAGGAGGCGGGGGTGGTGGCGGTGGTGGGAGTGGAGCTGGTGGTGGGGGGGTCAGTGGCGGAGGCGGGGGTGGTGGCGGCGGCGGTAGTGGGGGTGGCGGGGGTGGTGGTGGTAGTGGTGGCGGCGGTGGAGCTGGTGGCGGGCGCGGTGGAGCGGTGCAGCGTG